TTTTTTTTTTGGGGCCGGTTTTCCCAAATCTGGCCCTTTTAAGAAGGGGGGCCTTTCAACCCCAAAATTCCCCCGGCCACCAATGAATTCTGGGAGTTGAAGTCCACTCATCTTAAAGTGGCCAAGTTTGGACAACACTGCCCTACAATAATAAAGGAGTGTCCCTGGAATCCTTGCAGTATCTGTTTCCTGACCTGGCTTACCTTGAAGGCTGACAAGTGTTCTGGTTGGGGAAGAATGCCCTGAATCTTGTTGGACTTTCTCTTAGTCATCAATTCAAAACAGAAATACAATAGCTACTACAGTAAAACCTGGGTTTTATCACACACACACAACGCACACTGGTTCAGCAGACTTCAGATGGAACAGGCCAGATCTGAATTCAAATATCTTATGTAATTTACATAAAATTTACATGAAGATGATAAAAAATGGGATTTAACGGACATTCAGCACTTCTCCTCCATTTTGGGTCATCCAATTTATCTTTATTTATTTATATATCAAATTTGTCACTGTCCATCTCATGAAAAGGCAACTCTGGGTGGTTTACAGAGAAGATAAGATTAATTAAAAGTACAATATAAAAGTAGTCCTAAATAAATAATAAATATATTCCAAGAATTGAGGGTAATTGGCAAGACATTTAAATTTCTCTGTATACTGATTTCTACATTTTCTTCTCCTTTTCAAATGATTTTAGTCTCCTTGGATAGAGAGTGGAAGAAGCAGAAAAAGACATTAAAAACCTAATTTCTAAACTGATAAATTAAAAAAAAAAGGAAATGCCATGATGTTAAAAATGCTGTAAGACTTTGTGAAAAAAAAACACACACCAGCCAAAGAAGTGTATATCTGTAGAATCCAAAAAGCCAGAATCCAATTGCCTTGATTTTCAGTAAAACTGAAAAACATCCAGCAGTCATTTGAAACACATCAGGAGAAATACAGAAATTATTATAGCAGCTGGGATGCGCCGTATGCCTAATACAGTTCTTTTGATGTCTTCCTGGATATTGATACCAATTCAAGCTTTGCACATCTGTTGGTAACATGGGAGGTTTATTAAAAAGAATTATATGCAATTTCCTGGGAGGTTTGTAGAATGGCTTGCAGCAGTTATTCCTTCTCTGAATGGTTGTGGTAGGGAGAGATGGTGTATAGTTAGTTCTCTAGTTTATAGAGAATTAGTTGAGTTAGAGTTAGTTGCGTTAGAGGGAGTTAGCTCAAGCTAGATGGATGTGCTTTGCATTGCCATTGGATGTCCTGCTCCAGATGTTTCCCTATTGCTGAGATATTGTAGGTGATTGTCCAGGAGGACTTCTCAGTGGTGTCCCCTCCCAGTTCCTTAGTGTTATGAACTATGGGAATGACCTTGGGAGACAGGAGGAAGAGCCACAGACTAGACAACCGTCGTGCAAAAGATAGCCCACAGAAACAGAAGCATCTCAGAAGGGACCCTCCCTAGTTTTCTGGAGAGTAAAAGGAAAGGAGGGGAGAAATACATGCAGACTTGCAAGATTCTGTTACTGTAACTGTTCTCCATCATGTAATGTAAATTTTAAGCCCTGCTTTCAATAGTTGTGATTTTGCAGTGTTTGTAAGGCCCCCTGGGAAAATCTATAGACATTTAAAACAAATAGCTGGCATTTTTGCAAAGCAGGAAATAACCCCTCTTTTAATTGTATAACAAATCTGGGTTAGAGGGAATGAGAGCAGCACCTTTTTCCACCCCCCATGGTCATATATTCCCATGTCTAGTTTGCAAAACTATTTTATATACCAAGGAATACGTTTTAGGACCCCACATTTGAGTTATGCTAATACATGATTGCAGAGGGGTTAAGCTAAGTTTTCCGAAATAGCCAGGTGTCCTGTCGACCTTGCGAGATAGACCAGACAGGAAACATGGCCAGATGAGCTAATTCTACAGAATCTTGCAAGTCTGAAAGCACATTTCTCCCCCCGTCTCCTTTACAGCCCGAGAAACTAGGGAGGGTTCCTTCTGAGCCTCTTGCCCTGCCCACTATCCATCTGAGGGCTATGCTGTCTCTTATCTGACCATTCCCTTGGCTGCATCTTGTTGTTCTGTCTCCCAAGGTCATTCCCACACACCATTACACATCCTGAGTTTAGATACTAGCTCCTGTTCTGGCCCTTTCAGCATTTTGTTGCTTTATTATGCGCATGACAACAGAAGAAGCTCTTTTCAATGTGTGATTGACAGAATTGAATCTCTCTCCTGTTCAGGTTCAAACTGAGTCCCTGTTCTTGGTCTTAATTGCTGCTGAGTTTGAACCACATTCTTTGTAAGCCTCGGTTAGTTGTGCAACACGTTTTCCTATTTTCAGTGTTGGCTGCTGCAGAACGTTTTAATCTGCATTTTTGCTGGAAGAGACAGGGTGCCATTGGCCTGACCTTCTGACCCGCGTTTTTAGCTTTCCTCTGACGGCATCTGGCCCTCTGCTACACATTTCCCACAATGTCCTTGAACACTGCCACATTAGCTGCTCTGCTGTTGCGAAAAATTGAAAATGGTGGCTCCTAGTCAGCTACCTTGAGGGTGCTAAGTCTTCCAAACCAGCTAAAATAAACCTAAATGAATTAGACTTTTTCCCACAAACACAATATGTGGAAGATGCTTATTTGCTTGTATAATATAAAGATATCAAGTATTAGAAAGATAATGTGCTGGCTTGTACTTCATGCTAAACCATAGTTTGTTGAAGCACATTTACTGAATAATCCAACATTGACTGAGGACCCACAACAAACTAAACCAAAATAGTTCAAGCTGTGTATGGCTCCCCATCATGTAAAATCTACCCCTTGGGATTTTGAAGGCCAATGGTGAAACACTGCCGAGTTGTGTTGAAATGGCCGGCCTGAGTTTCTGATCAAAACTGTCCTTTATTTACCCTGGCAGCTCCACAGACAGTTTGAAGACATTCTTCAGATAAAGCTCCTGTTTACCCGGCTTATCTGGGGCCCGCAAAATGGGAAAGGAGAGTCAGAAAAATCCAGAGCTCGTTCCTATGACTTCATGATACTGAATGGGCTGTGTCCCCCTTCCTGTGGTCCCCCAACTGTACTCATTGGGGGAGCCATATTGCCTGGATTATATCCAAGGACTGTAGCTGAGGTTGGAATATACACAGCCTTTCTCAACTCTGGGGCAATAGGGGTGCAAAAGATTCCCATCTGACTTGCTAGACAGTTGATAGTGTAGTTCTGTCCACACAACGCACTGAACCACATCAGGTGGCAATCTATTTTTAGTCAGCTGTCAAAGCTGCAATTGCAACAGAGGGTTGTCGTTTTTCCACCTTCCTTTCTTCCCCTCTTCTCTTGAGGGACAGACAACTTTACTGTTTTTGTTGGCCCAGGATAGGTATCAGCAGTATGTTGATATTACCCCGTTATACATCTCAAGCTCTAGCTATCCGTATGGGGCTACGGAAGTCCTGTCTCGTTGTCTGGAGGCTGGGGGGATTGGAAGGGGGAAAGTAGACTCCCGTAGCAAGATCGAGGGGCTGTGCATATGGGGTGCAGCTGGACGCAAGGAATTTCCATCCTTGTAATCCAGGATTAGAAAATCACCCTGCCCCTAATCAAGAGCCGCGTTCAAAATTCAACTGAATATTTATGCTATGCAATCAACTGTTTTGGGAGTTACTGCTCGTGCGTTCGCATGGAGTTCTGATGTCCCCATTCTAATGACATGTTCTTTGTATGTTGTGTGTGTGTTCCTTTTCAGGTGATTATAAACAGCACCATCACACCTAACATGACTTTCACGAAAACTTCCCAAAAGTTTGGCCAGTGGGCTGATAGCAGAGCCAACACCGTGTTTGGCCTGGGTTTTTCTTCAGAGCAACAGCTGACAAAGGTTAGTCATTTGGAGTTTACTTTTGTTTTGTCTTGTTTTTTTGGCTCTGTGTATGTGTTTGGGTTGTTGTTGCTGTTTTTTCCCTTTTTTCTTTTGGTAAACTCTGCAGTAATCTGACTAAATTAAAAGAACAGACATATGGATCTAGTGGGAGTCTTACTGATAAATTGGAACTTCTTCCATTTTTTCTTAATTAACAAGCAACTTCTCCCTGGGCAGGTGATTAATTTCCCTTAATTAGCAAGTGGGATGTTGCTTGTGGGTGGTACTAATGATCTTTTTCTATTTTAATTATATTGGGGATGCCTAATACTCTGTCCTTGCCTTGGGATAATCCACCCCTGCGAATCACTGTATGTGGTGCTCCATATTTCTCCATTCAATCCCAAGAAGGATCCATTAAGGTAGACTTGATTTCTTAATTCTTCTCCCTGCAATGACAACCAGTAGAAAACTGCCAAAGAAGTATTACTCATCAACAGAAGGAGGTGTTATTTTATTCATTCTTTTATTTAGATCTCTGCTCCACCTCTCCTCCAGGAACTCAGATACTTTCTCTGCCACGCTTATCTTTTGAGCGCCAACCCTGTGAAATATATTGGACTAAGACATTGTCCCTGGATGTACGTGTTACGTTTAGCCATGCTTTGTTTTAGTATGTTTTGCATCACCCACAATTGGCTGGGCTCAGGCACCAAAGCCAAACATCTCAAGAACATACTGAGGCTCAAACCAGACAAAACCATCTCATGGCTTAGCTTCACACACCACAGTTTAAAGATGACCTGTTGAAACAGATGAGAATGAACGTTAATCATAATCTTTGAGGTTTGGATGAGGCAACAAGTGGCAAGTACGTTGGCAAGAGCAGAGAAGTGTCTAACCTTCTCTCTGTTGTTTAAGCAGGAGGAGACGAGGACATGCTGTAGAAGTAAAGCATGTTGGTGATGATGTGACTGTCGCCTTTTAAGTGTTGACAAAAGATGTAAAGGAAAGGGGGTTGTAACAGAGCCAAGTAATTGAACAGCAGTAGTTTGGTAATGAAGAATCAGTATTACCCTATGCGTTGAGACAAAACTCAGGGCAAATAATCATAGTGTTTGTTCCCGCTCTAAAAGAGGCACTTAGCTTGACACACAGCGAACAGGTTCTGTAAAAAATGCAAAACATCCAGCCATTAACAGCTCCAGATTGTATTGGCTCCCTAGATGGAATGCCCTTGAGCGTTCCAAGTATTCCCCGTTAATCATGCCGTTCTCAACCTTGAAAGCTTGAAAGGCCATGAGATATTAGAGCAGAGGCCACATTGCTGGCAGTTGGGCTGCAATCTCACCTACTTAAGTGGGGAGGGGCGGTTTCTTGTTGTTGCACAGACCAAATCTTTATGGAGTTTGCAGTCTTCCCACATCCAAATCTACCCCTGCTTGTGCCAGACTTCCTTCTTTTCCTTTTTTTTCTAATTGGGAACAGGAGAGTCATTCTGTGGCTGAATGTACAATGTTTCCCAGGCTGTATTTCTCCACCTTCAGCTGCGATGGGAGGGGCTGGTGACTGTGTCCTAAAACTATATTTGATTTCATTCACATTCACATTTATTGTTTTGATTTAATTAAACATTAAATCCATGACATATAAGCAATCGTCACGTGTTTAATTATGTCCCCTTCCAACAAGTGAAGCATGGCAATTTGGTTTTTGGAGGACTCTGCTCTGTGCAATTCCAAACCACTGGAAATCCAAAACCCCAGAAGCAACTTTAGTTTGCAAAAATATTGACCAGGAGAATCCATGTTTACTTTTTGGCGGTGTCTGCTTTAGTCCTACTGAACTGGGGGGACTCTGAATGTCTGATGGAGAAGTCTCAGAACCATTGAGAAGTAACAGCTTCCAGAATTCCTTAGGAAAAGTTGGAACTCTTAAAAAGTGAGTGAAAAGCAGAGATTTTCTTCAGGGTATTTTTCCTCTGATAATACTATCTCAAGATGTTGGACTGCAACTCCCATCGGTCCTGCTAATGAAGATGAGTGTTCCGGTATATCTGTTTGGAGAAGGCTGTGGTATAATTTCATAGTTGGCTATTTAGTGGTTGCAGATAGTACTGCGAGGTCTTGGATGTTCTAAGAAGCGGAGTTGTTGACTCTCTTAATTGGCTGCCTGTCAGAGAGTCCCTTGGGGTCATTGAAACACAGGCCTGTGGTTTGGGGAAGGGTGTGCATGTGCATATTTACAAGCCAGTTTGGGCTGCAGTGCAACATTCTTTCTATTTTTTCATCCTTGTAAATGGCTTTTCCAGTTTGTAACTTTGAAGCATGTGATTATTTGCAACTAATTCTTCTTAGGCCCTTAAGCAGCACCGCTAGATATTTTTTTTTCATCCTTTTCCCCCACACAAGACTGATGAGATAGATGAATAACCTCTTAAGGTTTGGTTTTTCCTTTGAAAAGCCTAAAGAAAGCTTTACAATTCATCTAAATGGATCACAGTACTTTTCCAAGTAGGTTCACACCATTTGGAATGGCCAATTTGCTTGAGATCCCTCTGCTACTTGTGAAGCAACCCTGTGGATGGCCACTCTGAAGCAAAGCCCCATTAGGTTCAAGTGTGCTGACCCCCAGAAAGTAAAATATGGGGGGCAGTCTGATTCTTCCTTCGAGGGGGTTACAGATCCTCAGTCTAAGTGTTTGGGAAATGGGACAAGAACAACAAACACTGATGTACATTTAAAAAGTGTCCTGCAGGAGTAAGAGGATGAATGACCTTCCATGATATTTGTCCCAACAACCACATTCGTTGGTGAACTCTCTGGGGTCCACATGCCAGCGAGAGGTGGTACTTTACAGGAAGTCAGTGTCACGGCAGGGTCACAGCAGGGAACATTAGTGACTTAGGCAGTTGCCATTTTTGGTGATGATTTGTTAGAATTATATCCTTGCTTTCACCCAGAAGCTCATAATACTCTCTCTCCCACTTTTTTGCCCTGGACAACCACCCTGTATAATAGGTTGGGCTGAGGAAGAGGGAGCAGCCAAAAGTCACTTAGCCAACTTCCATGATTGAAAGTAGATGTGAATCTGAGTATCTCTAGTCCTAATTTAACACCTAACCACCTAGTCAGCTTCCAGGCTGTGGGTGCAATTGAATTTAGGTCTTTCTGCTCTTAGTCCGACCATTTAACAGTATACTACAGAAAACACATGTACTGTTGTGGTTAAGGTGGTGGACTAAGATCATTGAAAATCTGGTTCAAATCCATCCTGGACCATGAAAACTTTGATGCCGATTAATACCACTCAGCCCAGCCTACCTCACAGAATTATTATTTTGTGTGGGGGGGGAATGGAGGAGAGAATGCTGTGTAGAGCATCTAGAGCTCCAGGAGGAACATCAGGATATAAATCAAACAAATAAATAAAAATTAAAATAAAGGTAACACAGCACAGTGGATGGCTTTATTTTCTATTTTGAAATAGTAGCTTATATGATATCTGTACACTAGATTCCGATTCTTTGGGTTTTTAAGGAGTTTTCACTCCTGTTGTTTGTTGGCATTGCCTTCCTTATTCCAGGACTGACCAAATGGAAGGTCCACAATCCAAAATTAGCACACTCCTGGAAATGTCCTTTGTTGTGAATGAAATACAATTGATTCTTTTTAAAGGGTTGGGGGAAACCCCGGTTGCTACAGTAATTGGGGGGTACAGTATTCATACCTCCAACAGAGCAAGGAGTCAGTCTGCTTTGATTATGCTAAGCTTTGCTAAAGCCAACTTCTCATATTCTCCTGTTGAGAGCTGGCTTCTCATCTGGAAGGAAATGATTTCAATTGGTAATGACATGCTGGTCCTTAGGAATGAGGGAAAGCACAGATTGGAGCAATGATTGCTAACTGGGACTTGCCACTGTTTGCGAACACAGCTAATAAGAGTGCAGTAGTGCTAGAGGATTTGTAAGGATGGTTTCCTGTTCATCATCTAAAAGCATTCCTTGAATCTTCCTGGTTTGTATTATTAATTACCACCCAAAGCAGAAATCATAAAAATGTCACGCAGGCTAAATGTCAAAGTCTATAGAAGACCTAATAAAAGAGCAAAGGGGGATGTTGGTGGTGTTGAAGGAGAGGTGGTCGTTCTTGGGTTCTTTACTACCTTGCATTTAGGATTTTTAAAGAAAATCTGGAACTTAAGACTGTAAAGCAAATGAGAGGTTCCCTGAAGGAAATATATAATAATTTATTGGATGCCAGAAGTTGGAACTTGAGGACCTCTAGAGATGTTGAGACTACAGCTCCCCAAATTCCTAGCAAGCATCTTCTGACACATCTGGAAAACATCTTTTTGAGGAAGATTGCTGAAAGATATCTCAGGTAATAGTATAGAGATCCAGGGCTGCATGTGACCCCCAAAACATGTTTTCCCACACTTGTCAAAGGTTGCCACCAATTGAATGTTTAAGATGACACAGGAGGAAAATGATCAAACGTAGGGAAGTATAATAATATCCATAATGAACTAATTTCATTTAATTTTAATTACATTGAAACAGTAAAGATCGCTGCTACGATCAAGCATCCATTTGTGTCGGTTGGGTTTTGGAGAGATGACGGTGGTGATAAAAATAGGATATTTGTTTCCTTTTCCCTCCTCAAATCTAGCAATAACTTTTAGTGATGGATCACAACAAATCTAAGTTTTAAATGTGATCTCAGCCAAAGGGTAACTATAAGGCTAATTGACAAATTATATTCACAGCCAGGATTTATAACTGTGCTCTCAAATGGATATTTATTCCCGCTTCCACCCTGCCCTGTTATAGCCACTAAAATGACGCTTTGATGGAGAATTGGAGGGGTGGAAGGGGGGGCACCACCTAAGAAAGAAAAAAATAATGATAATGAATATCTCCACTTCAGTTGAAACAGAAACATCTTTCTTTTTCTTTCTGCATTTTTATCTGTTCCTTTACTGCTCTTCCTCCTTCTCCTCCCTGTTGTCACTTGCTGGGTTAATTGTAGGTTAGCATGCGGGGGATCGTAAAATGATGGGGAGAGGATTAAATATTGCTTCCCCCATATTTCCTCGATGTATTCCTCCTTCCTCTCCTCCCCTTTCCCTTCATTTTCACCTTCATCTCTTCCCTCTCCCTCCCTCTTCTTCTTCCTCTTCTTCCTTCCCCTTCCCCTTCCTATCCTTCTCCTCCTCCTTTTTGGAATTCGGTTCAGTAATTTACTGCCTGCCTGTTTTTGTCTCTCTTGATATTCTTAACATTAGAATTAGCCAGTATTGTGGCAAAAAAGGAGACCCACTGGTATCCATTAGAACAGAATTCCTCAACCTCAGCAACTTTAAGATGGGTGGACTTCAACATGGCTGGCTGGGGAATTCTGGGAGTTGAAGTCCACCCATCTT